ATCAAATATGCCATGGCGAGCTTGCTAGATTCTGCCGTTCTGACAGGATACACATGGTAGCCTGTCAGGTTTTCCAAGAGTGAGAACTAGACAATAAGAAATTGCTTCCGGGAGCTTGGCTTTATAGTCCCTAGGACTTGGCTGTTGATGGGATAATACGGCGCCGGGGGCAGTCAGTGGGAGTAACACCTAGCTACTGGAAGATGGGGAATCTGGGTGGAGGAGGTCCAGTCCTGATCCGAGCAGGCTTGGAGATCCCAACCCTGGGTCTTGCACACTTGGGTTCCTCTGCCGGTTCCTTCATGCATGAGGCTTGTCTGAACATGTGGAGAGTGGTCTTAAGCATGACTGTGGCTGGTTCTGGAGGTCTTCAGCTGCTGGGGCTCTGCTCCGTATGGGGAGGGAAACTCAACCCAACCCCCTCCAAGGAGCCCCAGTGTGGACAGTTAGGCTCAGGGGCAGGAGACTAATATTAAAGTAAGTAATATTGGTATAAGTACTATTGCTTTAAGACAGGAGTGAATGTCATACCTTGTCAATATTTCTGCAGAAATCACTAAACATCTACAATCACTGGAGAGGTTCTTTGAAAATTACTAACCCTGAGAAAATGTGAATGTTAAAATCTGGTTTGGTAATCCTTTTCTCATTGACATACTTTCCATCAATGACAGTTCTATGATATTTTCAATGATTTGAGAATGAAGGAGACAATGTACAAAGAATCCAACCTAGATAATATTGTATAATTTGTACTGAACTGTGGAAGTGCTAATTCTATTTGTTTTCACATGTCTATGTGAGTGAGGCTTTTCCCTGGTTCTGTCACAATGAAAATCTTAAAATTAATTCAGTATGAAAGACAAACATTTCCCTGATAAAAACTAATCAGTACTTTTAAATTGCTATGCCAAATAATAGTGGTCTTTTATTGAAATTAACTTTTGAGAAAATTAAATTTTACTTCATTTGTAGCATTATGAATTTATTTCAATTCATCATATGCACTGGACATTATCTTTTATTATCTCTTATTAAATGAGATTAAGAAAATATTTCTTTGTGAAAGTATTTTAATATGCGAGGTGCACAAAAATAATTTTCTAAATAGTAAAGTGAGTTGTATGTTTAATTTTGTGACTACATAATATATATGTAAAAATTTTCTTAAAAAAAGAAGGTAATAAAATATGTAATAAAATTTCAGTAGGAGGAAATCATCTCATTATAATAAAGTCACCTATGAAAAAACACATTGCTAATATCACATTAGTACTTTAGCACTGTCCTCCCCTTTTTCATCGATTTGCTCAAGTGGGCACCAGTAATATCTCCATTGTGAGACTTGTTACTGTTTTTGGCATATCAAGTATGTCATGGGTAGCTTGCCAGGCTCTGCTGTGTGGATGGAATGCTCTCGGTAGCTTGCCAGGCTCTCTGAGAGGAATGGAGGAATCGAATACAGGTTGGCCCCATGCAAGGCAAATGCCCTACCTGCTGTGATTTCACTCCAGCTCATTTAAATGCTGAAAATTCAAACTTTTTTTTCTATATGATATGGAACAAGATCAGTATGTTCTCTTTTATTAACATCTGTTGGCATTGTACTAAAAGTCCCAGCCAGAATAATTAGATAATAAAAAGAAATATAAGGGATTCCAATTGAAAATTAACACATAAAATTATCTATTTACCTAAAACATGCCTTTGAATGTAGAAAATCCTGTTCTTTGGGATTAAAGAAATATAAAGAAGTGATGTTGTTTAGCTTCCAAAAAGTCCAGAATTTTACTGATAAGTTGTTATGTGCCTTTCCTCATGTTTCATGTCTTGTCCACAAAAGAATTTAATGATGATGGTGGTCTAGCAGGAATCTACATAGAGGAAGGTTTTATTTATTTTTTTGTTTTGGGCTGGAGCGATAGCACAGCGGTAGGGCGTTTGCCTTGCATGCAGCCTGCCTGGCCTAGCCGGGTTCAATTCCTCCGCCCCTCCTGGAGAGCCTGGCAAGCTACCGAGAGTATCTCGCCCATACGGCAAAGCATGGCAAGCTACTCGTGATGTATTCAATATGCCAAAACACACTAACAACAAGTCTCATGATGGAGACATTACTGGGCCCACTTAAACAAATAAATGAACAATAGGAGGACAGTGACAGTGACAGTTTTGTTTTTAGGCCACACCTGGTGGTGCTCAAGGGTCATTCCTGATGGGTATGAGGGACCAGGTGTGGTGCCAGAGATTGAACCTGGCTTGGTTAATTGTGAGGCAAGCACCCTAAACACTGTACTGTAACTTCAGCCCACAGAGGCAGGTTTTAATATAACAAAATCTTTTCTATTTGGGTATGGAGGAGTGGAGTATGGAATTAAGAAATAAAATAGTCACAATTCAAGAAAAAGTGGGTAGGTGGATTAAAGTATCTAATTCTCTATTTGGAAAAAAAAAGAATACTTAGAAAAAAGCTTTGATGTACTTTTGAACAGTTCAGCAGCTATTATAAGTTCATGATTGCTTTTTTAATAAGAATTAGTTGAAATGTATGCTATTAGGATCGTTTTATAACAATAAGAACTCCTGTTGAGACTATTCAGGGTAAAGAGTTTTATTTTGCTGTTTTTCTAATTCTAATACTTTCAGAAATCATCATCATTATCATTGTATATTAAGAAGAACAAAGAACTTGCAAACAGATGTCAACTAAGTAATTCTACTGCACAGTAATATCTTGGTACTGAAAAAATACTTGCACTTATGTGAGAATGTATATACATATATTTAATTATTAAAATATGGTGATAAAATAGTTTACAGATTTGGTAATCACAAACAGATAATTGTTAAATTGCAGGAAACTAAAGAAAAATGCAATATGGATACACTTACATAGATGCACACATAGGTAATTATGGGCAGGCATGTACATATACAAGTAACTACATCATAATTCCTTTTTTCATTTTTGTTCAGTCAGATTCTCTGGATCTCTGGAGGTTGATGAGGTAATAGTTGGGATATTTCAGCTCTTCTAAATATTTTAAAGAGAACAAGAGTGAGCTGTACATTTAAGCTTGGTATAAATTATAGACATCAAATTTCTTGATTTTTGGATAGAATGGAATCAATTCTGGAAATACTGGTATCCTTCAGCCTAGAAGAAACTCTGATAGATCTCATTCCAGGTTTTTGATAAAGATGAGTTAATGACTTATGAGTTGACTTTAGCACAGAGATCTAAAAGTTCCAAAGGTTTGAAGTAAAAAAGATTTAGATTTCAGTGTTGAGTCCAGAACTCACAAGCCATTCTATTATAAAGTCTCAAGAAATTTAAGAGAACTTCTTATTAATAATTTTATTATGAGAAGTAAGCAATTACAAGTCAAGTGCCTAGCACAGAACAAATTAAATAGTATATATTAATATTGTTTTATTACAATATACCACAGAATAATAAACTCTTTCAAAATAAAATGGTCTAGGAGTTAAATTTTTTTTAGAAAAGACCAAAAGTATAGTTGTTTTTAAAAGATATTTATGCATCAACTTTCAATACTTCTAGAGTCATCTCAAGAACATGTACCCAATGCATTATTAACAAATTATTTTGTCCAAAATGCGGTAAAGTTAAAGTTTCATTTTTGTAACTGGCTTCCCAAACATTCTCTATTAACCAGTGGCTTATTCCCATTTGTGGCAAATGCAACTAGTCAGTACAAGAACAAACCAGACAGAGGAGAATCTCTTCCACAGCTAAGGACTACCTTATGATCTGTTGTAGAGATAACAGGAACAATTGTCTGTTTGTAGAGAGTGACATTTGCAGATATTTTTAAAGATCCACCTGGGTGGTTATTGAGATGAGCCAACTGCAAAAAATCCTCCTGATTCTCCCAAGTATCTCAGAGAATCACTTATACCCAAGGAAAAAGAGAAAACAGGAAAGAATCCAGGAAATTTCTTTGTTGTGATAAAAACCACCAAGAATTTTAAGAACACAAGATTTAAAGGAGTTTCTCTGCCTAATTCCAGAGGTGTTGAGTCAAAGAGGCCTCTTATTTGATTAAGTTGAAGATGTAATCTTACATAAACAAGTTTTCATATTTTATCTGAAGTATTCTTATGTCCATTATGCCAGGAGAGCTAGCTTTTGAGGGAGACAGGGCAGGGTGCCATTATTTAAATTCAAAAAGTGAAGAAGGGTTTTGCTGTGGTTGAGTAGTTTAGTAAAGGCAATGAGTTAATAAGAGAGAATGTCAGGATTAGGTCCCGAGTCTACTGACCTCTGATGGCATTCTCTCAGCTTGAGCATACTGTGTGTGTGTGTGTGTGTGTGTGTGTGTGTGTGTGTGGTAGTTTATCAGAATCACAAGCACGATCATGATCATCCTGTTTGTCGATTTCCTCAAGCAGGCACCACTAACGTCTCCTTTGCCCTAGCCCTGAGATTTTAAAAAGTGCCATATTCAAGGCTCTTTCAGGGTTAGGAGAATGAGATGAATCATTGTTACTGGTATTTGGCATCTTGGGTACACCATGGGGAGTTTGCCTGACTCTGCTGTGTAGGTAGGTTACATTCGGTAGCCTGCCAGGTTGTCCAAAGAATGAGATAATAAGATGTCACGGGGCCACAAATGCGGCTGCGCACTTCCGGGAGTTGGGTTTTATAGTCTCTGGGTCTTGGCCATTGATGGGATTACACAGCGCCAGGGGGCGGGTGTGAACCCTTCCTATTGGAAGATGGAGGATCTGGGTGGAGGATGCTCAGCCCCGATCCGAGCAGGCTTGGAGATCTCAGCCCTGGGATCTGCATGCCTTGTTTATCAGAATGCCATATGTAAAAAAAGCTTTGCATTAATAAGACAACTAAACTGTGGGAAATTATCCTGTTGTTAATTGTCCATATTTGGCACTTGTTGCTAAACTTTCATTTTCTACCATTATTTTATTTCTCAAGCAACTTAAAAGGGTTTGTGATCACAGATTTTTTCCCCCCTCAGGCTGGAATAGAGAAAGATGTGATTTTGAAGATGGACTCTGTAGTATGACACAAGATCAGAATCTTCAACTTGGATGGAAGAAGCAAAATGGGATGACTCGCCTCTTTGCTCCATTTTATGATCACAATGGTGATAAGTCTGGTAAATGCTTTGAAGTCCTGTGTCTCTTTTCCCCTCTCTCTTTCCTCCCTGCCAAGTGGTTGATCAGGTGGTGTAATCCCGGCTGTTAACATATTAGCAATTATAATATCAACTTTTATGCATTTTTTAAGCATATACTTAGAATTCTAAAATATCACATTGGGTTTTTATAATTGGGTTCCTGCGTCCTGAAAGTTGATCTAGGCAATAATTAGGATTTTCTAGCTATTTTGACTCCTTATAGAATTGTAAAATGGAAATTTAATAATAACACACAGATTAATTCAATTTCTCTGATTTTGACTAGAAGGGGTTTAGCTTTGTCCATAGTGTTTGTTTTCCCAATGAAACTGGAATGCTCTGATGTCTGATGGGAGATTTTGCTGACCTTGGGGTTGGGGTAGGGGGGGTCAGGTGGCTCTGGAACCAGGCATATTTATTCTTTGTTTTGTTCATTAACTAGTAATGTTGTTAATTCATAATTTTGTGCAAGTTGGTCAAGATATTTTAGAGAGAAAAAAATTGACTCCGCATCTGCCATCATCTGACAGGTTTACACATGATTTGCCAGGAGTGCCCAGCCTGGCAAAATAATTGGTGACTTCAATTTTTTAGACAAATGATGCTTATTTCAAATGCAACTGAATGTTAAATAGGAGTATTTTCTTAGAAATAATTTAAAGCAAACCAATGTTCAGGTTTCTGATATTAGTTGTATGAAAATACTTGTATGAGTTCTACTCAGGGGATTCAAATTCCGATTCTGTTACATGCAAGCTGTACTATCTTGAAAAAATTACTTGTTAATCCTTTATTTTTTCAACTTTGATGGAGATGATGGTGTGTGTGATAATGATGCGTAATTTGTAGGATAGCTAATTTTAGGGTTAAATGAGATGTTGGTAATAAAACTTGTCCAAAGTATGACACAAAGTTTATCTTCAAGTTATGTGAGTATTTCCTTTGCCATTTTTAAATTTAATTTTTCTTTTGGGGGGAAAGGGCACACCCGGGGGGGAATACTCTTGGCTTCTCACTGAGAGAGCACTCCTAAGAGTGCTCAGGGGACCCAATGGGGTTTCGAGGCAAACCCTGGTCTGCCCCATGCAAGGCAAGCACCTTACCCATTGTACTATTGTTCCCATTGGTCATATTTTTTTTATATTGCCAAATACATTAAATTGTTTTTAAATTTCTGATACTGTATGCAGTTTTACTATTTCATTGCTTTTAAGTTATCAACTTATTTTTAAAATTTATTTTTTTAAATTATTATGTAGTTTAAGTAACATGTTTACCATAATCTTAACTTTCATTTGCACCCCACCACATCTGAAGTATCCAGGACCCTCTGTTACTGTCTTTATGCTGCTTCTCGCCCACCTCTTCTATTCTTAACTTCTTTACACGGTTTTCTTATCTTTTGATTTTTCTATAACTATATTTTCTTTGCCTCATTGAGCTTAATTACAATCATAGTTTTAAAATTCCGGTTTTTCTCATCTCAGAATCATCTAGTATAATTGTCTTTTCACATGGTGTAGCTATATCTTATTAATTCCCTTTCAAATGGTTTTGTATACTGTACTTGACATTATGAATATTATCATTGCGGCTGCTCTGAACTCTGTTGCATTTCTTTCAAAAAGTGCTAGTGATTTATTTTATTTGAGTAGTTGATGACTTTCTTATCTGTTTATCCACAGAACATATCCCTTATTTTGGTTCTATTTTACTAGAGATTTTCCCTCTGTTTATGCTGGATCTGACTTCCCTGGGCTCCCATCTATGGTTCTGTGGCCCAAGGAGACAATAGCATTTCTGTCATTTTTTTAAAACATTTTTATTAGTGAGACATCATGAGGTACAGTTGTAGGCTTATAAATTTTTGTGCTTGGGTTTCAATTATATAATGATTGAATACCCATCCCTCCTCCAGTGCCCATTTCCCACAACTACGGATCCCAGTATCCCTCCCACCCCCCATTCCCCCTATCCCACCCTGCCTCTGTGGTAGAGCATTCCCTTTTGTTCTCTCTTTCGTATTGGGTGTTGTGGTTTGCAAAAGAGGCAATGGGTGACAATCATGTTTGGTCTATAGTCTACTTTCAGCATGCTTCTCCCATCCTGGGAGGATTCTCCCAACACCCTTTATTTGGTGTTCCCTTCTCTAGCTGAGCTCCCTTTTCCCCTAGCATGTGTGGTTGGCCTCCAAGCCATGGAGTAAAATTCCTGATACTAATCTCAGCCATTCTTGGGTGTTAGTCTCCTATTTTGTTACTTTATGTTCCCCAGATGAATGCAATCTTTCTATGTCTATCCCTTTCTTTCTGAGTCATTTCGTTTAACATGATACTTTCCATGTAGTAACACTTGTATGTAAATTTCATGACTTCATCTTTTCTAACAGCTACATAGTACTCCATTGTGTAAATGTACCAAAGTTTCTTTAACCAGTCATCTGTTCTTGGGCACTCAGGTTTTTTCTAGATTCTGGATATTGTAAAGAGTGCTGCAATGAACAAACAATTGCAGATGTCACTTCTACTATACCTTTTTGCCTCTCTGGGATATATTCCCAGGAGTGGTGTTGCTGGGTCAAATGAGAGCTCAATTTCTAATTTTTTGAGAATCGTCCATACTGTTTTCCAAAAGGGTTGAACCAGTTGGCATTCCTACCAGCAGTGAAGGAGGGTCCCTTTCTCGCCACATCCGCACCAGCACCTGTTGCTTTTGTTCTTGTGGATATGAGCCAGTCTCTGTGGTGTGAAATGATATCTCATTGTGGTTTTGATCTGCATCTCCCTGATGATTAATAATGTGGAGCATTTTATCATGTGCCTTTTAGCCATTCGTACTTCTTCTTTGTGAAAGTTTCTATTCATTTTATCTCCCCATTTTTTTATGGGGTTGGATGTTCTCTTCTTGTGGAGTTCAATTAGAACTTTGTATATTCTTGATATCAACCCCTTGTCGAATGTGTATTTGGTGAATATTCTTTCCCATTCTGTAGACTGTCTTTATATTTTGGTCACTGTTTCTTTGGAGGTGCAGAAGCTTCTTAGTTTAAGATAGTCCCATTTGTCTATCTCTGTTTTCACTTGCTTGGCCAGTGGCGTGACATCTTTGAAGATACCATTAGCTTCAATGTCATGGAGGGTTTTGCCAACTTTGTCATCAATGTACCTTATAGATTCTGGTCTGATGTTGAGGTCTTTAATCGACTTTGATTTTAGTTTTTTACATGGAGTTAGGCAGAGATCTGAGCCCACTTTTATGCATGTAGTCGTCCAGTTTTGCCAGCATAATTTGTTAAAGAGGCTTTCCTTGCTCCACTTCACTTTTCTTCTCCCTTATTGAAGATTAGATGGTCGTATGCTTGGGGGGAGATGTCAGTGTATTCAACCCTGTTCCATTGGTCTGCAGTTCTGCCTTTGTTCCAGTACCATGCTGTTTTAATTATTACTGCTTTGTAGTAGAGTTTGAAGTTAGCGAGGTTGATTCCTCCCATTTTCTTTTTCCCAAGAATTGCTTTAGCTATTCGTGGGGGCTTGTCATTTTTTATGTAGGAGTACTGCTATTTATTCAGCCACTGATTAGCTGATTGAATTGTGCATGAACTCCACCTTACCATTTTTTTTTATTTTTTATAATTTTATTTTTTGAATCACCGTGAGAGCAGTTAAAAAGCTTTTGGGTCTAAGTCTCGGTCATACAACGAAACACCCGTACCTTCACCAGTGCCCATTCTCCACCCCCTACAACCCCAGAATACCTCCATCCCACACCCTCTCCCCTACCTGTAGGGCAGATGATTTCCACATTACTCTCTCTCTACTTTGATCACATTCAATATCTTGACACCAGACCCACCATTATGATTTTAGATTTAACCCCAACACTCAGATCTGCTGAAAAGGCAACAGTAGACAATTTGTTTTCTATTGCTGGTTATGAATAACATGTGATGTCGCATGGCAGCAGTAGTGGCCAGGCAATTTCGAAATTCTGAAATTTTAACACTTAAATCTGGAGGGATTTCTGCCAAAACCTGCTGGGTTCCGAGATTTGCTCCTGAGTCTCTGGAATCATGGCCGCCAAGCAGCTTGATCAGGAGCCAAAGAGGCCATTTGTGGGCGATGACTTGAGGTCTCGTTGGGGTGGGGAGGACAGGACTGGCTCCACCCCCATCCCGTGAGGCCAAATAAGTTCGTCACTGCGGGCCCAGTTTGTATCTGCAAGCCTGACTGTCCAATGGCCTCTGGAGGATGGCGGTCACTGAGCCACCAAGGGGGAGCAGGCGGAGGGACAGCACCCTTTGCCCCCTGGGGTGGCCTGGCGACAGTAACCTACTGTGGGGTCCAGACGCATTTCTGCCAAAAGCCACTGGGTTTCGAGATTTGTTTCTGAGTCTCTGGGATCATGGCTGTTAAGCAGCTTTATCAGGAGTCAGAGAGGCCATTCATGGGCGATGACTTGGGGTCTTGTTGGGGTGGGGAGGATAGGACTGGCTCCACCCTCATCCTGTGAGGGCCAAAATGTCTCATCACTGCGGGCCCAAACCTGACTGTCCAGTGGCCTCTGAAGGATGGCAGCCACTGGGCCACCAGGGGGGACAGACCAAGGCACGAAGCCTATTCCCACTTGGGTTGGCCCAACACCAGAAACCTATTGCAGGGACCGGACGCATTTCTGCCAAAAGCCTCTGGGTTTCGAGATTTGTTTCTGAGTCTCTGGGATCATGGCCATTAAGCAGTACAACCAGGAATCAGAGAGGCCATGCCTCCTATATAGCTGAGCTGGAAGTGGTTTGTGGGTGTGTCTCCCACATACCTAACTTTTTTTCGTTTACTTTCTTGGTAAACTTTGCCCCAAGTTCTTGGGGTCTGGCCAAAGGCACAGCAACAATTTTGGGGTATCTGAAGTCTGAAGGTGCCATCAGGCTGCTGATGCACTCGCCTCACAGGTGCAGATTGACCTGCTGGCGGCACCATACCCCC